TTAATTTTACCTTTATACATTTTTATGCACTTCTTATATCTCTTTACGCGAGAATTATACCCTCTTTTTTCTTTTCTTCTTCTTCCTTTTATATATATATATATACTCTATATACTTCCCTACTTATAACGATCTCTTTTATTACTATAACTCTTATATATATATATATAACTATAAGGAACGGTGGTTTCCTACTATAAATAAAGTAGCTATAATATACTCTCTTAATTTTATAAGCTAATAAGTAGTATATTAATTATAGATAAAATCCTATCTTATAACGTAAGATTTATATACTAAATGGGTTGCTAGTTATTATATAATTAAGAATTAAAAGAATAAAGCTAGCTTAGAATACTAACTAATACCTCTTAAGAGTACTAGCACGACTAAACTCCTTTAAATATAAATATTAGCGGAACTAATATACTTCTAACTATACTTAAGGTATTACTAAGTTTATTAGTTTTAAGGCTATATAGTAGCTTAAATCTAGTCCTAAAAGGTTCTTTCGTTTAGCTATAATTATCTATATAATATAGTATGTCCGCTAGTAGATAGAAATAGAATTTTTAACTTTAATACCTCTTTTATATACTAATATACTACTAATAAATTCCGTTAAAAATCCTACCTTATACTACTTCTTCCCCTCTATTATATAGTCTTACGTAATTCCTTAATTTCCTAAAATTCCGCTTTTACTTATATACCTTAAGAATAACCTTCTTAGCGTCTTAGCGTTATAACTTAGAACTACTTACCTTAACTATCTAATCTTAACTTCTCTTTCTCTCCCGCTTACTCTACCCTTTCCTAAGATATAGCAGCGAACCTAAATAGTATCTTAGGCCTAGCTATAGACCTCCCTAAGAATACTGCTATTTTCTTTAATATACTACTATTTAAGATTAAGAGCTTTATTTTACTTACTTACTATAGTAAAGTTAAAGTAAAAGGCAGTAAATAGCGCTTTTATATTAAAGGTCAGGAAAGGTTTATAAACTAAGACTAACGGGACGTTTATAAGTATAAGTAACCGCCTTAATATATTTATAAAGATAGTTAGTACTTAATACTAAAAAGCGCTATTAAACGGTAGTATATTACCCTTAAAGACGCTTAGATAATATATAAGGGCGTTAAAAAGATAAACGGATTTACTAGGAATAAGGCTTACTAAGAAGAGTATATCGTCGATATATATAACTTTCTTTATAAAGCTATTAATAAATAATAAGCTATAAGCTTTATCTTTAGTATAATAATTAAGATATTAATAAGAGGTATTAAGAATATAGTATACCCTTTACCTTACTTACTATTAGTTTATACTAATTACTAAAAGGAACCTATTAAAGATAAAAAAGATAAATATATAAAGTACTATAAATACTTAAATAATAAGGAGTATTTAATAAAGTTTACCGCTCCTACCTTTAACCTTAGTTACTTTATATATAAATAAAGGTATATAACTAGAGTTATTAACTTTTTAGTAGGACTAAATAAAGAGGGACTCTATTAAGGAACGTTCCTTTAAGATTATAAAGAAGGAAACTTAGTTATTTTTAATACTTAGAAAGAGGGATAGTATACTAGGCTCTATATATTCCTATAAGTATAGCGGTAGTTTCTTTATATCCTTTAAGTTCCTTTTAACTTTACCTATACGCTAGTCCCTTATACTACTTAGTAAGAAGGGTAGGAATATAGCTACTTAGCCTTAATAATAATCTAATACTAGGTTAACGGTATAGTTATACTATACCTTAAGATAATTAAGTAGCGATACTTAAAGGTTAAAGTAATTCTAAAGTAAAAGTATAAAGTAATATAAGAAGCCCTATAAATAGATAAAATCTTATACTAAGACTAGTATTTCTTTAAGCTAGATAAGAGGATAAGTATAAAAGGCTATATTAATAAGCTAATAAGTAGAATCTAAGCTATTATAGTAAACGAACTTAATTATATATAAGCGATATTATAGGGTAGCGGAGTTTCCTAGTAGTTTAATAGTAGGGTTAGATAACTATAAAGGATACTATTTAATTAAGGCTTAATAACTTTTAGTAGAGTCTTTCTTATAAGTATTCCTAAGTATAAACGGATTTACTAATATAACTATATTATCCTAAGAGATTAAGAAGAATAAGACCTCTAAGAAGTCCTAAAGGTAGTTAACCTCTTAAATAGGCCTAGTAAATAGAAACTACTGCTTTTAAAAGTCTTAAGATATATATAAAAAAGCGGAATTTAAGGAGATTAAGGAATTATATAAGACTACGTAATAAAGGGGAAGAAGGAGTATACGGTAGGATTTTCAACGGAATTTATTAGTAGTATATTAGTATATAGAAGAGGTATTAAAGTTAATAATTCTATCTCTATTTACTAGTAGATATACTACCTTTTATAGATAATTATAGCTAAACGGAAGAACCTTTTAAGACCGAATTTAGGCTACCGTATAGCCCTAAGACTAAGGAAGTTAGTAATACCTTAAGTATAGCTAGAAGTATCTTAGTTCTATAAATATTCTTATTTAAAGGAGGTTAGTTATACTAGTATTCTTAAGAGGTATTAGCTAGTAATCTAAGCTAGCTCTATTTCTTCGATTCCTAATCTTATGATAATCGGTAACCCGTTTAATATATAATAATATATAAAATAATAAGCGATTATTGCTCTATAAGATAGGATTTTATCTATAATTAATATACTACTTATTAGCTTATATAATTAAGAGAGTATATTATAGCTGCTTTATTTATAATAGGAACACCGTTCCTTCTAAAAAGATATAAAACTAGCTTATATAGTAAAGAGAGCGAGAAAAGAGCTATCTATACTAGCTACCCTTATAAAGTAACTTAACCTAATCGCTTAAGCTACGCGCGGTTTCTTTATAAAACTCCTCCTTAAAAAGACCCTTAACTATCTAATTACGCTAATAAGAATCGAGAATAAGCTTAGACCTTTATTACCTTAAGCGTTAACTAAATTAAGCTCCTTATCTAAACTAAATAGCCTTTCCGTAAGTAACCTTAAGATAGGATCCCTACTTTAAAGTCTATAAAAGAGAGAGCTAAGCGCTCTTATTAGTCCCTTTATTTATATAAAAACAATACCTTTATTCTCCCCCTTAAATATATAGCTAATTAAGCCTACTCCTTACCTACTACTAATAATTCCTTAGAATATATAGAGGAGTAAAACACTTATAACTATACCTCCGCCGATAACTTAATAAGAAGCTAGTAAGGAAGAAAGGTAGATAGCGCGGCTACTAACTTACCCTAGGACTTTAAAATTACTAGGCACTTAGTTAATTACCCTAAGGCTAAAGACTTTAGTAATACTTATAGCGCGCCCTATTACTCCTTAGAAATAAAGTATAGTAATAGCCTCTTTAGCTATAGTCCTTATAAGGTTTATACTAGGCTTAAAACCTACCTAGGTTAAAGGAGTTAAAAACCTAGGAATATATTAAAACTACTACTAGGATATTAATAACTATAACTCTATATATTTATATAGGACTACTAGCAACGTAATAACGATTAATCTATAAGACTTTATAGCTTATTCAATCTAGCTATACTTAAAGCTATAAACTAGTAAAGATACTAATTATTTTATTTCCTTAATACCCCTAGGTATAATAAGCCTAAATACTTAAGAGCGTATATAAGGGGTAGTAGATAATTATCTAAAGAAAGAAGTACGCGAGTAAAGATAAGAAAGAGCTAAATACGTAGCTTATAGGTAAAGGGAGGAATAAATAATATAAAGGGAAGGGATTATAGTAAAGGAGAAAAGTTCCGTTAATAGTTTATTTATTTACTTACTTATATACTTAGGATAAGAGCCTTTACTTATTATTATCGCGCCTTTTCCGTTAGTATCTTAGGTCGGAAAGTTACTAGGTAGGAGTTTAATAGGTAAGATCGCACCCTTATAGATATTAGCCCGTTAAAGAGATAAGACCCCTAGCGCTTCCTATCTACCTCCCCTAAGTATACTTAAAGGCTTTATAAAAGCACGGATTATTTAATTAGATATCTTCCTTAATTATAGTTAATTTAAATATTTATTTTTCCCTTTTAAAGTAAAGGCCGCTAGTTACGCGACTTTAGTAGAGATAAAGAGGCATAGAGTAGAGAAATCTCTAAGACTTATATTAATAACCTAAAACCCTTAGAGCTATATATAAGACCGATAATTAGATAATTACGCGGTTAATTACTTTACTAATCCTTAGCTATATACTACGCGTGCTTTAAGTATATGCCCTCGTCCCTATTAAAGTATATTTCTTTATAATAGCTTTATATAGCTCTTCTTAATCTTACTTCTATCCCTTAAGATATATTATAATAATATTATTAATAAAGAAGAAGATAATAACGCCCTTATAGACTAGTATATAGGCGTCTTTTACTAGCTACTAGGCTCTTAGATCTATAAAGAAACCAGATATCTCTTTAAACTATAGCTTTAGAAAGATATAGAGCCTATATAGTCCTCTTAATAGCTTTAGGCATAGCCTAGGTATTAAGAATCCCGGTAAAGGCTAGTAATAGACTTCTTAGCGTAGGATTATATATAGGAATACTATTTTTACGTTATATTATTCTATCTTAAAGTCCTTAAGGTAGTAGAAGGCTATTAGCAATCGAAATATTTATGCTCGTAGCGTAGCTATATATATATCTTTATTATCCTTAGGCTATTAGTCTCTACGAACTATAATACGTGCCTTAAAGCGTATAATATATCCCTACTTATCGGTCTTATATATAAAGACCTTGGGAGACATGTTGCTTGTAGCCGATTGGGTTTGAACCAACTGCCTTCCGGCATGGAGCCTGGAGCCTCTCACGCCGGCATCGAGGCTCTTGCTGACGAGACGCGGCTGGCCCAGTTCCGGTCATCGACAAGAACTTCGTCGCACGTACTCTCTTCCGGCACTGGGCGCCCTCTGCATCTGTTTGATGGCAACATGGGAGGCGCTTTCTTCAGTTATCGCGGCTGCGCTGGTTAGCGGCGGGCCTCCGTGCTTGTTCTACAACTAGCAAGACTCCCTGCTGCCGCGCAAGAACGGGACAACGTGCTGACTTTGGGCGGCGGATGCAGTGTTGCTTCGTTTCTGTGTACCATCTGCATCGCCACTTCGCTCGCAGAGATCGCCTCCATTTATCCAACAGCAGGAGGTGCGGTCTATTGAAGCGTCACTGGCAGCTCATAGGCTCACATTCGAAGTCACAGGGCAATACTGCTGGGTCGCAGCTCTCAGCCCAGCCCGGTCCAAGCTCGCTGCTTCCTATTTCACGGGCTGGATATCCGTGGGCGGGCAAATAGTCTTCGCTGCCTCGGCCGCATTCGCAGCGGGTCTGCAAGCGCAGGCTTTAACCACTCTCAATGACGACTCCTATGTACCAAAGCGTTGGCAGGGCATGCTGTTCTACTGGGCCACACTACTTTATGCAGCTGGTATGAACGTCTGGGGCGTCAAGGCGATGCCGCACGTTAACCTAATGTCTGGTGCGGCGTCACGAAGAATTACCTCGTACTGATTCAAAGCCACTGGAAAGCTGAGAGTCTCCTAGGAATTACCCATATTGTCGCTTTTTTTGGCACTGTCATTACCCTCGTGGTCATGGCCAATAAAAACACAGCATCCTTTGTCTTCGCCGAGTTCGTCAATAGTAGTGGTTGGGACTCGGATGCCGTATCATGGCTAATTGGTCTCCTGAATGCAGTCTATCCGCTTCTTGGGTAAGTTTACATTTACAAATGTCTTAATTATATGCCGATCAACTCGACTGACGTTTCCAGGTACGACGCGGCTTGCCACTTGGCCGAAGAGCTTCCGGACGCAAGCCGTAACGTTCCGTTAGCCATGATCGGCAGTGTTGTCGTCAACGGTCTAATGGGTCTGGTGTATTGCATTTTGCTTCTCTTTTCCGCCAGGTCAGTCAATCGCTTAGTCGACACGCCAACCGGCTTCCCATTCATGGAGATATATCTCGACGCCACACTGTCCAGGGTCGGGGCCACCATCATGTCGCTCATGTTGGTCCTAGTCGCCGCTGCGGCAACAGTCGCCAGCACAACGTCGACGTCTCGGACGCTCTGGGCATTTGCTCGCGATAAAGCCACACCATGCCACGAGTACTTGAGCCACGTTAGCCCAAAGCTGCAAGTTCCCGTTCGAGCCGTCGTGCTGGTTGTCGCCTTGCAAGCGCTCCTTGGCTTTATGTATCTCGGCAATGACGCTGCTTTCAATGCGGTCCTGTCGATGGCAGTTATTGGCCTCTACTTGTCGTATATTCTCCCCATTGCATACATGTTCTTCCACGGACGGCAAAACCTGGGCAAGCAGAACTTTGGATCTTTCCGCCTCCGCCCATGGCTGGGCTTCACCTTCAATGTTGTAAGCATGATCTGGATGGTGGTTGTCATGGTCTTCAGGACTTTTCCGACCACCCTTCCCGCAACGCTGCAAAGGATGAACTACTCCTCAGTCGTCCTGGCCGGCTGGCTTACGTTTGGGGCCATCTATTACACCATAGCTGCCAGGCACAAGTTCGAGGTTCCGGTGACCTATGTCAGTTCAATACCCAATCTGTCAGTGTCAGTCCACGGGGATGATAAACGCCTTAACAAACAGGATCACGGAGACCTTCAATTTAGCTAGATGGCGGAGGGAACTTTCGATCCACCCCGCTGAGAGGGGAATAGAGCTTGATAATTCGGTTATCTTTCAGAACTCTAGGCATGTAAAGAAGGACATATGACGTATAATACGCTTGAAAGCCAAAAACCACCTGTACTCGCGGGACACGCCTCGCTACATGTAGGCCTCGGGTCTTAACGAGGAGCCAAAGTATACTCAATGGGGAAGGCGCAGAAATGGAAAGCAACTCGTTGCTACTTGTGTAGGTAGCATGGTGTTAGATGAAACTTCTATTTCATGTTGCCACTTCGGGCTTATGGGGTATTTACTTCTTATCTCCGCAGTTGGACGACCCGAAATGACTCAACCAGGACTGGACGGTTGATCACTCTAAATTCAAGCACGATGGGTTGAACGGAAACAGCAATGGATGAACTTGGTTAGAATTTCCGCATAATATTTATCATCAAGCACCCCTTGTCAGTAAATCAGGGGCGTTTGAAGTGCGGGCGTAGCTCTGACCAGCTGTCCTGATTATATTCTGTCTGCACCTTGCAACACGTTTCGAGGCCCCATTTGGTGAGTCCAAGCATCAGGCAACTCTCAAACATGAATGCCATGCTCCCCTCGCCAATCTTTTGGGGCTGCAGCTCGGCATTGCTTGCAATTTTAAACGTGCGCGCATCAGGACCGTGAGCGCTCATCACGTTATGCAGACTAGCACCGCCTGCACGGAAGCCTCCGCCGGCCTTCGCGTCGTATTCACCGCACACAAGTCCCATAAACTCGGACATTGCGTTGCGATGGTACCAAGGGGGCCTGAATGTGTCTTCCTGAACAAGCCACCTGGGAGGAAAAATGACAAAGTCGGCGACGGCGGTGCCTGGATGATCAGACGGCCCGGTCAATACCGTGTAAATCGAAGGGTCAGGGTGATCGAAAGAAACGCTTCCAATCACAGAAAAGCGTCCTAGGTCGTACTTATACGGGTAGTCTGTTCCCGATGTCAGCATAATAACCAGCAGAGAGAATGCTCAGTTCTTGAATTAGAGAGGAGAGTAAAACGTGGCCACGGCATCACCAAGGTTGCCCGCTTCGATACAATGTTGCTCTAGTCTACGTTCGTACGGTGCACAGAGTTGACTCACATCTGCCACGTTCTCGTCAATAAATGCCAGGGTTTTTGAGTTCTGGCTGGGTTGACTCACTTGCCGTGCCAAGCTACCACGTCGAATGGTGTGTGATTCTGCTTAGCGGTGAACAATTGTCCATTATACTTGTTGACAATCGACCAACTAGTGTTGGTGTCCTCTTCAAAGCAAGCGGTTGGTACTTGAAAGTCTCTCTGGTTAGCTAAACAGTTGGAACCAATCGGGCCGAGCTCTGGCAGGGTAAAGTGTCCCTGGTACAGCTCGAGGACATAACCCTTGGCGGGACCCTCGGGTAAGGTCACCCGGTATTTGATTCCGCGAGGGAGGACGACGATTTCGTTGGGTCTGACCAGGAGGTTCCCAAGCTCGGTTTGAATGTCAAGGACGCCTTGCTGAGCGACGACCAGCATTTCTCCGTCCGAAGAATAAATTGCCGTGGATCGGTCCATGTCGCGACCAGCGGTGAAGATGTAAATGCCGAGGCCCGTCTTGACTGTTGGATCCCCGGCTCCCGCCACCAGCCTCAAGCCACGGACCCAGTCCACGTCGTTTTCGACATCAAACGGATCCCATCGAAGCTGATTAGGGACAAAATTCAGGGGCTCCCTCAGTTGAGCACTTGCGGGCCCATCTAGAGGCTCAAAAGTGGAGTGTGCGGCTGAGGGGAGGATGCGATACAGCCAACTTTGGAGGCTTTCTTGGCGTGGCGCCGTAAATGCCGTTCCCGATAGCTTTTCCGCGTACAAACCATGTGGTGGCTTTTGGGGTGAATTGGCACCGATGGGCAACGCATCGGCGACGGCTTCTGATCTGCGCGGTGCCGTTAGCTTGCAACCGTGCCGGCGTGTGTTGTCGTGCATACTCGTGGAATGAACCAAAGCCATTGAGGTATTGGTATTTCTCAGGGGTGGCAAAGTTCGTCGTGGGCATTTTGGCTTGCTCTGCAAGAATTCAAGTTGGTTCTAGTAAGGATGGGAACATGGAAGGTTACGATACCGAAAACAATTCACATGAGATCAAAGATATTTACATTGGCAGTCTCTCACGCCGCCCCTGGTCCGAGGGGCCTAGCTGAAGGGAGGAAAAATTCCGAGGCACCGTTCGGATCGAGTCTTATGGGTGGAGAGGGAAGGCGAACATGTTCCGAAACAGGAAACCGAGCAACAGACGGGAGGGGTCGAGCGGCGTAGAAGGCGGGCTCGGAACCCGGAACGATCCCGAGGGCACTCGTTTCCCGGTCGAGCATGGAACCCACGACGCCTGAGCCTCGTCTCCGTTACGTCTCAGGGGAAAGTACGGAGTGTCGAGCCTGTCTTACTCCATTCAAATGACCTTTAAGTTTGCTTCAATCCCCAGGAAGGCAGACCAGCTCTGGACAAACATCGAATAGAGGATTACATAGACACATTGAACTGCACATTCTACCTGCTCAAAATGAGTTCCTGGTTTTCTGTCCAAAAGGGGTCATGCTTCTCCCTTGCCAACATCCCTTTTGGCATCATTTCCACCAAGAGAAATTCCGTGCGGCGGCCAGCCGTCGCTATCGGCGAGCATGCACTCGACCTGGCCACCTTTGCTAGCCAGGGTGGATTCGAGGGCCTCGAGAATTTTCCAAAGGACAAGTTGGGTGTGTTTTCGGAAACATCATTGAACTCGTTTGCCTATCTTGGGAGACCCGTGCATCGAGCTGTGCGCAACTACCTACGGGACGTTTTCCGCGATGATACGCCGTACCCCGCCGTTCTCAAAACGAATGAGAAACTCAAGGAGGCTGCTTTGACACCCCTCTCGGACGTCGAATCGCATCTCCCCTTGGTCATAGGAGACTACACGGACTTCTTCGCAGGTCGCAACCATGCGCATAACGTCGGGACTCTGTTCCGCGGAGCTGCCAACGCTCTGCAGCCGAACTACAATCACGTTCCCGTCGCTTATCACGGCCGGGCTAGCTCGGTCGTGGTCTCCGGAACACCGCTGCGTCGCCCCTGGGGCCAGGCACTTCCCACGCCCACGTCCAAGGAGCCGGCCTTCCGGCCTTCTGCTAAGTTGGATATCGAGCTCGAGTTGGGAATGTTCTTGTGCAAAGGCAACCAACTCGGCCAGCCCATACCGGTAGACGAGGCTGAAGAATTCATTTTCGGATTCGTGTTGATGAACGACTGGAGTGCCCGGGACATTCAGCAGTGGGAATACGTGCCGCTCGGCCCCTTCAACGCAAAGAACCTGGGAACTTCTATCAGCCCATGGGTTGTCTTGGCGGACGCGCTCGAGCCGTTCAAGGGCCAGGGCTTGTCGAACGAGGTCGAACTACAGCCCTATCTCCGGGAAAAGAAAAAGGACAATATTATTGACATCAGGCTGGAGGTGTCGGTCAAAAGTGGGCAGTAGAATATACGTGTGTTTGTCCTGATCGATGCTAATCCTATGTGCAGCTGCAAAAGGCACCACCACCACCTTGACACACACGTCTTCAAGAAATCTCCTGTGGTCGTGGCCACAGATGATCGCTCACCACACTATTTCTGGATGTAACCTCAGGAGCGGCGACCTTTTAGGTTCTGGGACGATATCAGGATCCGAGCCCGGCACATTTGGTAGTTTATTGGAACAATCCCAAGGGGGAAACAGCCCGATCATGCTAGGGGATGGGGAAGAGCGAACGTTTGTCAACGATGGGGATACAATAGTTATTACGGGGACCTCAACCACCGAAGATGGACAGCTCGTAGGGTTTGGAGAGTGCTCTGGACAGGTTTTAGAAGCATTGCCGATGAAATAGCTTCTCGGGCAACGAGTACTAAATATAGTCACGGCTCGTATTAAACATAGAGGCTGACTATCAAGCATAGCCCTCTGACTATTCAGCATAGAAGAAAATGGGGTTGTGTGGCTGGTCAAGGCGCAGCGCCGATACCGCAAATTTGTATGCGCATATTCCCTGCCTTGACTACGCGCCCTCTTTAGAGAAAAGTTTACATCGTTAACAACTTCGTTAAAATTGAAGCTATTTACACCGCGATTTGTACTGCAAGGGCGGCAGCAGCAGCAGCGCCGCCGGCCCTATCATCCACCAAGAAGATTGCGGCTATAGTGACGAGAGAGGGATTACGATACCTTTAACAACGGGGCGATGAGTACGAGCCGGGCACACGCATGCCACGGGCATATCAACGAGCTATACGCCGTACGCTACACTCTGACGATGTGCCTGCCGTAGCCCCCGAGCCCGACGAGCCCACGAAGGCACAGCATATATAAAAGGAAATCATCGTCGCGATGCCCTCGTAAGAGCCCTCGTAGGAGGAGGATATATAGTAGGATAAGGTAGAAGAGGCCGTTTAAGATAAAGAGGAGGCTAGATAATAAAGCTAAGGTATTTTACCTTCTTAACCCTAAACTTATATTTAACTAGGTTAAGGTAGAGCCTATATAGTTAAAGGCGCTAAGGACCCTTAATACTTTTTATATATAGTTACTATAAGAGCTACTTATATAAATAAGGATATTATCTATATATAGAAAGGTAAACTTATTAAAGAAGTCTTATAGTTATCGCGAAGCGTGGCCTAATTTCGCATTCTCGGAGATATCCCTTAGTAAGAGGGACCTAGGAAGCTAAAAAAAAATACTAGTATAGAAGAAGGAAGAAGGAGCTAAAAGGAGGTATAGAAAGGAGGGTAAGGGTAAGAGGGGAAATAGAAGTAGCGATAGCTTCCTATAGAGGTAGCGAGAGATAATACGGATATACCGGCAATAGCTAGAATAAAAGGGGAAAACCGGCAAAAAGCTTAGTAGTTAAGAGGACATTAGTAACTTCTTTAAGTAGGATCTCTTTATTAATTAAGATGCTAGACGGATATAAAGAGGGGCGTTCGCTAGAGGAAAGGAGGATAATTAAAGCAATATAATAATTACTCTCCTGCCGTAACTACTGCCCCCGTAAGAATTAAATAACTTCGTCCTGCCTGTCCGACCCCTTACTTCCCTTTTTAAAGAGCGGCTAGTATAGTAGAGGTAGTAGCAGCGGCGGTAGGCGAGGTCGCGGGGGCGCGGGTAGGAGTAGCGGTAGCGGCGGAGTCGTCGTTAGCCGCGCTTAGTATAGCGTCGATAAATAACTTTATACGCTCTAAGAAAGAGGAAGAGGGGGAGAGGGAAGTAGATATATCTACCGTAGAAGTTAGTATAGTAGAACGCGGCCTTTTACTTTATAAGATAAATGACTTATTAATTAGAGTTATTATTACTATTATTACTATTATTATTCCTATAGCTATTCCTATAAATACTTATTAATAAGGTAGCTTATATAGCTAGGGATAATCTAACGCCTTAAGTAAAGCAGAAATTACTTATTACTACTACTACTATAGTTAAAGAAAGAAGAGAAGGAAGGGAAAGAAGAAGGGGGGGGATACCGCCTTATATACCCCTTAGTAGAGGAGGCTACTTAAGGCCGGGGGGATAGGTAACCTCAGGCTTATATATATCCGGGCCGGCCGCTAGCCGCTTAAGGGCGTATATAATAAAACGCGCCCTTATTTAAGCGGCCGGCCGGCCGATAGGTATAGAGCTAGGTACTAGGTGCCTAGGTTAATAAGCGGGGGGATAATAGGGCTAGTAAGGCTAGCACGATTAATAAAAAAGGGTAAGGTAGAGCTAGTAGTATAAAGGGCCTAAGGCTTAATTATATAGAAGCCGTTAATAAGGCAGCGCCGCACCGCGCTAAAGGGAGGGCATTATATAAGAGTCTTTAATTATTATAGGTTATAGGCTTAAGCTATAGCCTAAGCCGTATAGTTATATATAGAGGGCTAGATCCTATATATATATATATATACTAGCTATATATAAAAGAGCTTTATATAGCTTATTAATATTATCTTATAAACGGTACCTATATATACGCCTCTACTTACTCTATAATTAAAGCAGGTAATTTAATATATAAAAAGCGCTATAAGGACTAGCCTTATACTTCTCGCGAAGATAGATATAAGAAGTATATAAAAAATATATAAAGGTAAAAAGGGAAGTAAGGGGTTAGATAGGTAGGGCAAAGTTATTTAATTCTTATAGGGGCAGTAGTTATAGTAAAGGAGTAATTATTATATTGCTTTAATTATCCTTCTTTCCTTTATCTAACGCCCCTCTTTATATTTATATAGTATCTTAATTAATAAAGAAGATCCTACTTAAAGAAGCTACTAATATCCTCTTAACTACTAAGCTTTTTACTAGGTTTTCCCTTTTATTCTAGCTATTACTAGTATATCTATTTTATCTCTCGCTACCTCTATAAGAAGCTATCGCTACTTTTACTTCCCTTTTAACCCCTACCCTCCTTTCTATACCTCTTTTTAGCTCCTTCTTCCTTTTTTTATACTAGTGTTTTTTAGCTTCCTAGGTCCCTCTTATTAAGGGATATCTCTAAAAATATAAATTTAGCTATACTTCGCGATATACCCCTTTAGCTATAGCCTGCCCTTATAGAAAGGGTAAAGCTAAATAATTAGGCTAGTAAGCGTATAAAGGAGGTCTTAGTCTATACTTATCTCTTACTTAAGAAATCTAGTTTTTACTAATCTCTTTTAAACTAACTTTAGGAAAAGGGGACTAAGGAGGAATTAAGTCCTATAAAAAAGGGGGTATTTTCTAAGGATAAGTCCTTAAAAAAGGGCCCTTTTAAGAAGAAGAATTCCTAATTAAGGTAGGGGCCCTCCTTTAAGATAAGTTCTAGTTCCTATCTTTAGCTATAGATATCTCCTTTCTTATATATACCGTTAGCTCCTCTTATAGACTCGTAAGGTAAGCTTCTAAGGATAGCTTCTCTTAAACGTTTTCTAGCCTTATTTACTATAAAAGGATAGCTAGCTTCTACTTTAGTAAGGGTTTTATAAGACCGTTAGCTTTTATTAATACTATTAGAACCTAATTAACGGAAATAAGTCCCCTTTAAACTTCTTAGTATAGCTAATATTAATAGATATCGATATACTATAGCTAGGTTAATAGCTTTACGTTTATAAGGAACGGTGTTCCTACTATAAATAAAGTAGCTATAATATGCTCTCCCGATTATATAAGCTAATATATAGTATATTAATTACAGATAAAATCCTATCCTATAGAGCAAGAATCGCTCGTTGTTTTGTATGTTATTATGCATTAAACGGGTTGCCGGTTATCGTATAATCGGGAATCGAAGGAATAGAGCTAGCTTAGAATACTAGCTAAGACCTCTTAAGAACACCGGCACGACCAACCTCCTTTAAACACGAATATTAGTGGAACTAAGATACTTCTAGATTTACTTAAGGTATTACGGAATTCCTTAGTCTTAGGGCTATACGGCAGCCTAAATCTAGTCCCGAAAGGTTCTTCCGTTTAGCTATAATTATCTATATAAGATAGTATGTCCGCTAGTAGATAGAGAGATAATTAACAACTTTAATACCTCTTTTATACACTAATATATTACTAATAAATTCTATTGAAAATCCTACCTTATACTCCTTCTTCCCCTCTATTATATAGTCTTACGTAATTCCTAAATTTCCTAAAATTCCGCTTTTGCTTATATACTTTAAGAGGTTATAAGCCCGGCTTACTCCTTTTAAGCTAGGAAATTAACTACTTATACCTTTAAAATTCCTCGTCGAAATATTTAATTAAAATTCCTTTCGAAATTCCCCTCGACTTCTTTTACCTTCCTACGCTCTTAAACTCCCGTCTAGACTTCTCGATCCCTACGAACGAAATAATACCGAATTTATAAAAAATAGGTAGATAGAAAGAATATAAATTCTCTAGACTTAAGGGAAATTTAAATTATACTCTTTAGACTACGAGGATAGTCTTAAGGTATATAAGCAAAAGCGGAATTTTAGGAAATTAAGGAATCACGTAAGACTACGTAGTAGAGGGGAAGAAGGAGTATAAGGTAGGATTTTCAATAGAATTTATTAGTAATATATTAGTATATAGAAGAGGTATTAAAGTTAATAATTCTCTATCTATCTACAAGCGGATATGCTGTCTTATATAGACAATTATAGCTAAACGGAAGAACCTTTTAGGACTAGATTTAGGCTACTATAGCCAAGACTAGGGAATTCCGTGATACCTCGGTAAATCTAAAAGTATCTTAGTTCTATTAATATTCGTGTTTAAAGGGTTGGTCGTGCCTTAGAAGTCTTAGCTAGTATTCTAAGCTAGCTCTATTCCTTCGATTCCCGATATACATTGGCATAATAATATACAATAACGAGCGATTCTTTCTATAGATAGGATTTATCTATAATTAATATACACTTATTAGCTTTTATAATCAGGAGAGTATATATAGCTACTTTATTATAATGAAAAGTTCATATAACTCCTTAAGAGTAGATTTATATACTCTTTACTAATTTATTTATAGTAGTATATATATAAGGTAAAAACCTAATTTTAGGAAAACTATTCTTATACCTTAATAGGATATATAAAAACCTATTCTTTCTTAGGAAAAGATTCCTTAGGTATATACTAATAGAAAAACCTATAGTAGGAAAAATCTATAGTTATAATAATTATTTATAGGATAACCTTATATAAGG